GGTCAAGGAAGAAGGTCAAGCCAAGGACCGAGAGGAGGCTGACTTTCAGGAGAGAGAAGGCGAGGGACAGGAAGTCTTCAGGAGGACCAATCAAGATTCGATCAGAAATAATAGGACGATGGTCAGGAGGAGGATTAGGGAAGGAGGAAGAGGAGGGAGGAGGAGGAGGGAGGAGTGACGACGAGGAGGAGGAAAGAGGAGGGAGGTTCAGAGCAGTGGCGTTTTTTAGTATAAAGGGTAGCCCATTACGAGGAGCAGGTAGAAAGGTAAGGTCTGTGAGGAAGGAGGAGGAGGAGGAGGAGGAGGAGTGACTGCCATGTACCACCGTCATTTCCCCGAAGAGAGGAAGGAGAAAGTGGAGTAGGAGGAGGAGGAGGAGGAGGAGGAGGAGGAGGAGGAGGAGTTCCTGCCAAGCACTAATGTCTTTCCGTGAAGAGAGGAAGGAGAGAGTGAGAGCAGGAGGAGGAGGAGGAGGAGGTACTGCCGTGGGCTAGCGTCTTTTCTGGAATAGAACTGACGGCCATTATTCACTGTATCTGGACTGAAGGTTGCCCCAAATAGAGCTATAATGGCCGTGCGTTCTATTCGAGGGAAGACGGCAGTTACTGGTGGGATATGTTATTGTCCGTATATGACCGGGCGTCCTATTCGGGGGGAAGAGGAAGTCAATGGCTTGGAGTGGGGGAGACTGCCGCGAGTGAACCATCAGGTCCAGATGTGAAATAGATCTGGACCATAGATTTCAAATCTGGACCATCAGGTCCAGATGTGAAATAGATCTGGACCTGGACAACGCCATGGACCAAAGATGAACCAAATTAGAATCAGATTGTCAAAATAATAAACCAAATATGAACCAGATATGCAAATAATGTAAGGCGAAAATAATGTTAATAACTAGGCTACCAGCCGGGCCGCCCGGGTCCCGGGTGGCCAGCCCGTGCAAGGATCAGATAAGGTCCCAGCAAAAAAAAAAAAAAAAAAAAAAAAAAAATCCAAAAATTCTGAAAAACAACTATGTTATGTAGAAAAATAAACTGAACAACTTTTGCCTCAGGGTCACGTCGAAATTCTTCACCAAATTTAAAATAAAAAATAACATTCAAAAATATTTTATTTATTTATATTTATTTTAATTATTTTGGCCCGGCCGGGCAAGTGACCCCGGGCCACTCTGGTAGCCTAGGTTAATAATTAAATAAATACGAATCAGATAATAATAAATTAATGTAAGGTAGACGTAAATAATAAATATAGAATAATCAAAATAGTGATAATCAGATAAGAAATAAACGAAATAATGAACATGCACGAGATATGAACCAGATGATATGAATCAGACTATCAAAAGGTAAGACTAACACTCTAAATAAAAATAATAAAATAATAAATATAATAAAAATAGTAAAATAAAATAATAAAAATAATGAAAAATAATAAAATAATAAAAATAATGAAAAATAATGAAAAAAATCGCCAACTGGCCTAGCGCAGTTGGTACACCCATAAGTGCTGAACTACATACCTCCGTTGGAATCCAGATGGAATCAGTTTGAGTAACATCGGTCTGAATTAACCCAGGGCCGGTCAGTCCGAAGATGATATCTCAAGGCTGCAACCCTTTAAAAAAAAATTAAAAAAAAATAAGTAAATGATATGAATCAGATATGAATCAGATGTCTGGTTTACAATGAACCAGATCTGTATCGTATCTGGACCACATGCAGATCCTGTATGCTTCATGTCTGATTCCAGTGGGTAAGGCTATATTCTTGGACCAGATGGGCAAGATCTGGACCAGGTCTGAGCCATGTGATTTCAGTGTACAAGATGGACAGGATCTGGACCATGTATGGACCAGGTACCGATGTCATGCAATCCTGGAGATTTCCATCCGGTATCTCTAGATTCCACGTGCTATGATCTGGACCAGGTATGGACCAGGTAGGGGAATAACCTGATTTCAGTGTGTAGCAGATTGACTAAAAAAAAAAAAAAAAAAAAAAGAGAAGATCTGGACCAGCCATGGTGGACCAGGTATGAATCTGATGCAATCCTAGAGATGTCCATCCAGTATCTCTAGATTCCATCTGGCCTGGATAGAGCGGACCAAAAAGGGGAAAAAAAAAAAAAAAAAAACACCCGAAGAAGGAAATATTATGACGGTCGGGATCGGATCCATAGGTCTCGACCACACGTGGACGGGTCCAGATCTGCATGCAAGATTAGAGTCGGATGTCTGGCGTGCAGCGGGCAGACGGAAGCTCGGGATTTTTTCTTACCAGCTCTCTCTCTCTCTCTCTGGTGCAGATCGGGGCCAAATCTGGACCGGATCTGGACCAAATCTGGACCAAATCTGGTCCGAATCTGGACTAGATCTGGACCAGATCTGGACCAGAATCACCACATCTGGACCAAATCTGAGCCGAATACAACAGCTACGTTCCAGATGACTACCGAGTGGATATGCACAGGAGATTCTGTTCATCTGATTGTGTATCTGGATTCGATTTCAACAGTTCAGTTGAGGGGTGTACCGACTGAGCTAGGCCGTCGGTTGGACAGCAGATTCAAAAGGTGTGTTAATCCAGCTATTTATCTACAGGGTGGTACTCAATTAATCAATATCCTGTCCTTCGTCTTATGCACTAGACAGGTATTTACGGGATAGGGTAAAATTGGGAAATGGTTTCGTGGGAGGGAGGGTTCCCCTGACATTGTGCTCCGAATTGTGCGCACAGGATGGCGAGTGCTACATTACAGTTTGTATTAAATGCATATTTCTGACCGGATTCAGTCGGGTCGGGGGTCACCCCCAATGCGTTCCATTCGGGGGAAAGGTGAACGTACCACTCCTTTGCAACTGGCGGAGGAGGAATGACTATGATTGTGTTCCTGTTCATCCTTTCTCTCTTGTCCTCTTTCTCCCACTCTTCCCCTTTCCACCTCTCTACCTCTCTCTCATTCTCCCCCCCTCCCCTCACTCTCTCCCTTCCCTCTTTCTCCTCTCAGTCTAACCCCTTACTCTCTTCTCTCTCCTCTCCCTCTCTCCCTCTCCCTCTCTCCCTCTCTCCCTCTCTCCCTCTCTCCCTCTCTCCCTCTCTTCTCTCTCCTCTCTCTCCTCTCTCTCCTCTCTCTCCCTTTCTCCTCTCTCTCCCTTTCTCCTCTCTCTGCAAGTATGATAACATCCATAGCGATGGCCCAGAAAAAAAAACGACAAGTCACCCATTGATTGGGTCTGTACCTGTCTTCTTTCATCTGTTTTGCGTTTCTGTTTGGGTCACTCAAGCTCCAGTCTCCCACGTCGTGGCCGCAAGTGCTAGCGCGGCGACATGATAACATAATCCTCTCTCCTCTCTCCTCTCTCCCTCTCTCCTCTCTCCCTCTCTCCTCTCTCCCCTCTCCCTCTCTCCTCTCTCCCTTTTTGGCACGGGTAGGAGCAGGGGAGGGGGCCGGAATTCTGGTAGGGTTTTTTTTTGGGGGGGGGGAAGACTTTTTGTTGTTGAAGGGAAGGGAGGGTGTTTTTTTGGGGGGGGGGGGGGGAGGGAGAAGGCTCGGAGAAGGAGGAGGAGGAGGGGGAGGAGGACAACGACGGCGGCGGCGAGGAAGAAGAATAAGAAGAAGACAGGAGTAGAGGAGGAGGAGAAGAAGAAGAAGGAGAGAAAAGAGGAGGAAAAGGAGGGGGAGGAGAAAATCCTTTGTCCCCCTTCACACTCTTAGATGGAATGACGAACAGTCGCCACCTTCCTGGAAGACGAGGAGAACACTATGAGGAGGAGACTATGAGGAGGAGTGATTAAAATGACCCTTTTGGTTTTCTTATAAATAGCATCATGGCAAGTGGTCTGAAAATTAGGGTCTCCGTTAACCTTCTCCCAGAAGCTAAGAGGAGGAGAACGACTATGAGGAGGAGGAGGAGGAGGAGGAGGAGCAGAGCTTTTGTCCTCCTCCGTTAACCTTCTCTCTCAAATGGAAAGACAAAACTCCCAAATCTTCCACCTCCGTTATCTTCCCATGAAAGCAGCAGCGCCAGCAGCACACGAAGACGCGAGAGGAGGATTTGCACACCATCTTTCTGGTCAGACGAGTTTCATCATTTGGTGGCTCAAGGTTGTTTAAGGTTGTTATCTGTTTTTCTTCCCCTCAGTAAAAGGTAAATAAATTACTCGGATAATTTCTGAACCATCCTGTGTGTCTGTATGCGTGCAGGGTCTTTCAATGAACAATAAAATGAAGTAAAATTTTGACTTTTCCACCTGATCTATAAATTTACTTTTTTCTCACTTTCTGTCAAGTTTTGAGCCTTCAAATGTTCAATAAATGATTTTTTTAATGTGTTATTCTATTTCTCAAAAATAAATAAATTACTCTCCCCGGATAATTTCTGAACCATCCTGTGTGTCTGTATGTGTGCAGGGTTCGTGATCAAGGGCCGTCGGATTGTGACGAATGCGCATGTCGTAGCCGACCAAACGTTTGTGCTGGTACGGAAGCACGGGTGCAGCACTAGGTTCAAGGCGGAGGTGGAGGCGGTGGGCCACGAGTGCGATCTCGCCTTGTTGAGAGTGGACAATGAGAATTTTTGGGAGGGCATGTACCATTTAGAGCTGGGCGAAATTCCAAATCTTCAGGAAGCGGTTGCTGTCGTTGGCTATCCCCAAGGTAAGCAAAGTGTTAATCAGTTTTTTTCTAGGCTACCAGAGTGGCCCAGGGTCACTTGCCCGGCTGGGCCAAAAAAAAAAAAACAAAAAAAACATGAATGCGTGACATCCTGGTTGGTCTTGTCCCGTCGTTTGGCCTGTGTGTGTTGGGGCGGTGCGTGCATGTGGGACTTGTCATCTGGGATCTGTTTTGTTGCCCCCTGGTCTGTTTTATTTGGCTGTTCCCTTCCTCTTTTCTTTGCCTCTTCGCCTTTTGGCTGTGTGCAAGTGGGTCGATATGACACAAGGGGGTGGGGGCAGCCGCTGCTCAACCTACATCCACGTGGGCGGCCTTGTACGCAAGAGGTTCTGAACAGGGGGAGTTATAAGGGAGATGATAAAAAACTGAATTCATTTTGTTCTGTTTTTCTTCCTTTTTTTCTTTCTTTTTTTCGCATTTGCGCTCTGATATTTTTGTGACAATATATATTTTACTCCATCTCCTTCCTCTTTGCCAGCATCCTCTTCTTCTTCTTCTTCTTCTTCTTCTTCTTCTTCTTCTTCATATGCCCCCCCACGCCGGCTGAGATCGGCCCTCCTTTGTCTTCGTTGTCCATATTGGGACATCGGCAGGTTCGTTCATTCTCTCATTCTCTCCTCCTCCCAGTCCCCCTTCCTCTCGACGTCGTGTTGATGCTAATCTGCGGGGTTCTTTGTCTTACCGACAGCCTGCTCTGCCACGTCGACGGCGTTCGTCATTCATGCGTCGACCCCACCAGATCAGACCTAGCTTTCCAGTGGTGACCGAATCGGATCTGCGGGCAGATCTACCAAATGCTTGTGGGTTGACAGCCACAAATGTCTGCCTACAGGCTTATCAGCGTCAATGTTATACTGCTTCCCATTTTGTCACGATTGCTTATCAGCTTGACGCTGTTGAAAATCAGTTGTTGTATGACCATAAGGGTCCACCTCCTGAAGGTAGGGAGTAATTAATAATTATACTACCTCAGGAGGGGCTTTACTGTAAATGTCTTACAACTACCGGTAGCATTCCACGGTCGCCACCTTCTTATGCATCATGCGAAGCCAGGTGATGACCTTAATGACCATCCGCACATTTCTGCCTGTATTTTGCACAGACCCAAGGCATTATATGACACTCATTCGTGCAGCTGCCCACTGGGAACTGTGGGATGGTGGGACAATGACTCAGACTATTTTCAACATAAATGAATTTCTGTGTGCATTCCCGAATCATACTTTATTCTGGATTATTGAGCGACCGACTCTCGTGTGACACCTGTTGGGACAGGGACGCAGCGCGTCTTGGCTGCGTGCGGAATTCATCACCTATGCCATCAACATTATGATCTATTGCAGCCGCTGCCGTCTGTGTCGAAGGGTGTCCAACATTTCCTCATTGTACACATCCCTATCACCCAGAGATTCGTTGTCCCTTTTGTGCTCAAGGACGCTGTCAGGACTGCATGATGCCGCACTGTGATGAACGTCCTGCTGTTTTTTTGACATGTGGACAGCATGTGTCTCTTATACACATCTAGATGTGTATTTCCTCATTGTACACATCCCTATCACCCAGAGATTCGTTGTCCCTTTTGTGCTCAAGGACGCTGTCAGGACTGCATGATGCCGCACTGTGATGAACGTCCTGCTGTTTTTTTGACATGTGGACAGCATGCCCTTTGTCAGGACTGTTTTGATGGGATGGGATGGTCCGTGCTAGGCGTCCTGCTGAATGCTGTGCCGAAGTAGCTCTCCTTGGGTATCCTTGTGAACATCCACGTCATCCCCAGCGTGCCTGTCCCATCTGCCGGGGTGGGGGCTCCTCTCCTCTTCCTGACTGATCAATAGAATCAAGCGATCAGGAGCAACAGATGTGGAGTTGAAGAAATAACAAAGAAAAAAATGAAACGAAAAGAAAAGAAAGAAAGAAAGAAAATAAGTACAAATTTCTGAAGAAAAAGAAAAAGAAAACAAGAAAAAAGAAAGAGAGAAAAATAAAATAATATGTTGAACCTTGTAGTGACAGTGACAATTGGTTTATCTGTGGGATGTGTCATTTGCTTTCTTCCCTTGTCTTTTCTTTGATTGGATCCCTTTCTCTTCCTCTTGCCTCTGTGAGGTCTGGTTTCCTCCTCCTTTTCTTTACCTCTTTACCTTTTGGCTGCGTGCAAGTGGGTCCTTGTGACACACGGGGATATGGGGGCAGCCAGCGCTCAACCTGTCATCCACGTGGGTGGCCTTGTACGTAAGAGGTGATGAACAGGTGGGGCTTTCCTTCCTTCCTTCTTTTCCTTTCCCTGTTTTGCTTTTTTTTGCCTTCACGCTCTGATTCATAGTGCGACTATATATCAACTCCGACGAAACAGTTTGCCACAGCCCCTCGTTTGTTGTCCTCTTCTCTCTCTCTGCCTACGGTTTACCGGGCAGTTCTGTTTGTGACGATATATACTACGACCTCGCTAGCTTCCTGCTACGGTTTTTTCCGGTCAGGTCGAGCGGCAGTGGTCGGGGCCGTTACTAGGCGGCCATGCTGTGCCTCTAGTGCCAGCGGCGTGTCTGGAGTGTATTTTTTGGCTGTGACAGACCTTTCTTTGTTTCGTGGATGTTTTGCTGGSTTGTGATGRRGTGTGAACCGACAGTCTGTAGAGTTTTCCATCTGGTGTGGGTGAGTGATAGTCTACTTTGATTTTGGTTAAGGTAGATTATCATTTACAGTGTAATCAGTGAGGGGATTCTGCAGACTGTTGAGGGTTCAGCCTCCTGATGAGTCGGTGAAACTCCGACGAAACAGTTTGCCACAGCCCCTCGTTTGTTGTCCTCTTCTCTCTCTCTGCCTACGGTTTACCGGGCAGTTCTGTTTGTGATACGATATATTATTTTTTATTTTAAATTTGGTGAAGAATTTCGATGTGACCCTGAGGTAAAAGTTGTTCAGTTTATTTTTCGGCATAACATAGTTTATTTTTGGATTTTTTTTTTTCTTTTCCTGGGACCTTCCATGGTCCTTGCACGGGCTGGGCACCCGGGACCCGGGCGGCCCGGCTGGTAGCCTAGTTTTTTTGTTTTTTTTGTTTTTTAAGGTTAATCAGTTTTTCAAGTGGTGTTAATCAGTTTTTTTCTTTTCTTTTTTTAAAGGTTAATCAGTTTTTCAAGTGGTGTTAATCAGTTTTTTTTTTTCCCCCCCCCCCTCAGTTTTCTGTCGGTCTACCATCTCTCTTTCTTATACCATCTTCTCCCGAACGCAATGCACGGTCATCTTGACTGTATTGGACTAGACTGGAAACGGTGGCTGTATACCTTCATGATCAGGGAGCAGCAGTGTGTTTGGTGGGGGGGGAACGAGACGGTAGTTCTCCCTCCCTCTCAGCTAGATTCCCTCCGTGCGACTAGGCTATGTCTGTCTGGGAAGTGTCTCTTCTGCCCCTTTCTTTTCCCTCTGCTCTCCTTTCTTCCTGTCTCTCTCCCCTGCAGGGTGGCAAGTGCTACCCTCTTCCCCCGAACACAAAGCACCCTAATTATGACCGTATCTAGCCGGAAAAACAGATTGTATACATCCATAATGAGGGTGCGTTGTGTTCGGGGGGAAAAGACAGTAGCAGCAACAAGCTGCTCCTCCACTCCCTCTCTTCGTCCCCCATTTTTACTCCTGGCTGCATGAACTTGGACATAGTATCAGCCACGGTGCAATATGTCTCCTCAACCGCGTTTTCTACCCTTACACCTTCCCTCTCTCCTTTCTCCCCTCTCCTTTCTCCTCTGTTCCATCTCTTCTCCCGTCCATCCCCCTCTCTTTCACGCTCCTCATGCCATGTTCTCTCTTTCTCCTCCCTCTCCTCCCCTCACATCCTCTCTCCTCTCCTCTCCTTCTTCTCTCTCATCTTCCCTCCTGATTTGCATACACTCCTCGCCTCCCTCTGAAGGGGTGTGTGCGCTCGCTCGCTTGCTCAAGAGAGAGAGAGAGAGAGCGAAGAGCGGTGGGATAGAGAGGACGAAGAGCCCCTTACTGATGTGGATGCACTCCTTGCCGCTCTGTTGGCATCGCTTGTCTGCAGGCTTTCCCTTCCCTCTACTTCTCTCCTCTGAAGGGGTGTGCGCTCGAGAGAGAGAGAGAGAGAGAGAGAGAGAGAGAGAGAGAGAGAGAGAGAGAGAGAGAGAGAGAGAGAGAGAGAGAGAGAGAGGACAAAGAGCGGTGGGATACAGAGGACGAAGAGCCCCCTACTGATGTGGATGCACTCCTTGCCGCTCTGTTGGCATTGCTTGTCTGCAGGCTTTCCCTTCCCTCTACTTCTCTCCTCTCTACCTCTCTCCCTCTCTTCCTCCACTCCTCCCCTCCCTTACCCGCACTTCACTGTTCATCTGGCTCTCCTCCCTCTTCTCTCCTTCATTGCCTCTTTCCCTATTTGTACTTCCCGTCCTCCTCTCCTCCGTTTTCCTTCCATCCCTCCCCATCCTTCCTTGCTCCATTTCCTTTGCCCGGCCCTCCTTCCCCTCCCCTCCCCTCCTGGTCTTCCCTTGCTGTCCCCCTCTCCTCCCTGCTCTTTTCTTCGCTCCCTTGTCTCTGTTACCTCCCCTCTCTCCTCTCTCCCCTCTCTCCCTCTCTCCGCTCTCTCCTCTTGCCTCTGATCCCTTCCGTTTTCCATTTGTCCCGTGCCCTCTGCTCCTCTCCTCCCTTCTCAAGTCCAACTTTTCCATGTGTATGTATCCTGCGAACGTGGTCTAAGGTGATGACCAGATTCTCGCCCTGCTGAGTTTAACACTGAACCCTATCCTGCGAATATGGTCTGACGTGATGACCAGATTCTCACCCTGCCGAGCTCACCACTTTTCACAGAATAGTCTTACTGGCCTTGGACGAGGAGTCAGGTCTCTCGGAGCTACGATTCATGGAATGTGGTCTGAGGTAATGTCCAGATTCTCTCGGAGCTGCGCTTTTTTCCATGTGCGTAAAGTGATAGTAGTTGGACCTGTCTAAACCCTAAACCCTAAAGACATGCCCTAGCCACCACCTTCTCCTCCTCCTCCTCCTCCTCCTCCTCCTCCTCCTCTCCTTCTCTTGATCTCTCCCTCTCTTCCCCATCTTCATGCATTTGAATTAATTTCTGTCACAGACTATAGACATATGACCGATTGCTTTTTCTTTTTTTTCGGTTGATAGACTACTGCCGTGCTGTGTGCCGTGAAACCCTAAACCCTACATCCAAGAGACACAGGCCCTCGCCTCTCTGCGTCCCCGTTCTCCCTCCCTTCCTCCCTCTCCCCCCTGCCCTCCTTCCTCCCCCCTCCCCCTCTTGCACTCGTGCGTGTGGATATGAACAACTCCAGTCTTTTATTCGTTTGGCTGCTGTCCAGTAAACCCTAAACCCTACAACTATCACTTTCGCTGGCCTCTCTCTCCCCCTGCTCTTCGTACTCTCTCTCTCTCTCTCTCTCTCTCTCTCTCTCTCTCTCTCTCTCTCTCTCTCTCTCTCTCTCTCTCT